GCGTTAGAAGGTGTGATCAGAAGAGCTGGGATAGACACGAGTGGCACGATATTCAGGAAGTCCATCCAGCTCCTTGGTTTCGCCGATGACATTGACATTATGGCACGGAACTTTGAGATGATGGCGGAAACGTACATCAGACTGAAGGCTGAAGCTAGACGGATTGGACTTGCCATCAACGCATCAAAGACAAAATATATGAAAGCAAGAGGTTCTAGGGAAGACAATGTTAGCCTCCCACCCCGAGTTCAGATTGACGGTGACGAAATCGAGGTGGTCGATGAGTTCGTGTATTTGGGCTCACTGGTGACCGCCGAAAATGATACCAGCAGAGAAATTCAAAGACGCATTATGGCAGGGAATCGTGCCTAGTTTGGACTCCGGAGGACGCTCCGGTCGAATAAAATTCGCCGCCGCACGAAGTTGACTGTCTACAAGACGCTGATTAGACCGGTGGTCCTTTACGGCCACGAGACCTGGACTATGCTCGTGGAGGACCAACGCGCCCTTGGTGTTTTCGAACGGAAGGTGTTGCGTACCATCTACGGTGGAGTGCAGATGGATGACGGAACGTGGAGGAGGCGAATGAACCACGAATTGCACCAGCTGCTGGGAGAACCATCCATCGTCCACATTGCAAAAATTGGGCGACTACGGTGGGCTGGGCACGTCGTAAGAATGCCACACGACGACCCAGTGAAAATGGTTCTAGAAAGCGACCCAACAGGAACAAGAAGAAGAGGCGCGCAGCGGGCAAGGTGGATCGACCAAGTAGAAGGTGACCTGCGGACCCTTCGCAGACTACGAGGCTGGCGAACTGTGGCCATGGATCGAGTAGAGTGGAGACGACTTCTTCGGACAGCAGAGGACAACAAGGCCTTAGCCTGATTGGTAAGTAGGTAAGTAAGACTTGCATTGTATATGACCGTCATAAAGCTGTAGGTTATGGTTGCATCTGCAATAAAACCTTTATAAATTTTGAATATAGCCCAGCAGCTCTAGATTTGTTACTTGGGCTTGACAGCCCCACCGCTTTGTAGAAGTCGCTGCTTTGAAATTGCCCAGTATTTTTCGATTGGTCAAATTCCGGGCAATACAGAGGATTCATTAGTTTGGGGATAACATCGATCTTTTTGGCAGCATACCACTCCAGAACCACCCTGGAGTAGTTGCAGCTGGCCAAATCGGGCCAAAGGATGACTTGCTTGCGGATGAACGGCAATACACGTTTTTTCAGGCATTATTCGATGTAAACTTGGGATGTCATCGTTGAGGATAGTTTTCAGGCCACAACTGCAAATCGCTTGCCAAATCATGGCCTTTTTCACGAACTTGTCGGCAAACACTTTAATCTTCTCTGCACATCCCCACGTCCAGTCACGATGTAAAACCTTTGACCGGAAAGCTGGTTAAATCGAGTTTGACGTATGTTTCGTCATCGATCAAAGTGCAGCCCTTGTGTTTTATCAAAACACAGTCGTACAAGAGCCTTGCACGCTTTTTGGCCACGGAATTCTGCTTCATGTGCCGGTTCGGATGTTTACTGGCTTTGAACGGCTTGTATCTTTCCCTGGCAAGGATGTTCCGCACCGTTTAAAAGTTGGCTTTGTACCTTCTGGCCACATCTCGGATCGAAAGACCAGGGTTGGCTTCAACGCACCTCAAAACCTTGCTTGCTGACGATGGTTCCAGTTTTTTCGTAGGTCCACTGATTCCTTTCCACACTCAGGATTTTCTTGTAGGTTTTGAGCACTTGACAATCTTCAGCACTTTAGCCAGCTTGGAACCGGACCACTCCGGATTTCCCAGGTGTTTGTGTACGATATTTTTCCTTCTTTCGAGTTCCATTTGACGTTATTTCTAAACGCGATCGACTACTTTGATCAAACTTGCGCCAATTGTTCTCTATAGAAGTGTAAACAAACCTCTGTCAAACATTCGATTTCGAACACTAGAAGCGTGCTGGGTGCAACGGGCCAATTCACTTTTAGTCAGCCTTTAATTGTCATTATGATGGTCATAAATAAAACAGCAAGCATCTTGATTGACTAGTAAAAAAATGTAGATTTCAGTGATAAATCTGGAGACTCTTTTCTTAAAATATCAAATTTAGTTTTTGATCATGTATTTTAGAAATATCAAAAAAATATCCAAATATGAATTCAAACGAAATTAAAAAAAAACAGCACATCAAAATGTGTTAAGCGGCGCCAGTGGGGTAGTAGTAAGCGTGATCACCTCTCACCCCAGCAGGCCTGGGTTTAATCCCTGTCGGCGCCACCGGGATGTTCTGAGGCATAACATCTCTGATCACGGGGGGTAAAGCCGTTGGTCCCCGGTTCATGAGTTGATGGGTCGATAGGTAGGGCTCAGGTGTGGGAGCTGCCCTGGCGTCGATAGCATTGGTGCTCAGCACGGAAAATAAGATCGACGGAAAACAAATCAAGGAAAAAAAAATGTGTTATCAACATGATTTCCAAAACATAATTTGATATAATTTTGATAGTATTTTGATATCCGACTTTGACTTAAACATTCGGATTCAGGTCGATGTTGTCCATTCGTCATCTTGTCAGTCCCAACTTGTTTATTCCGTCGGTGGGATTTTTCTGAGGCATAAAAATCTCTGGTCACGTCTTCCTTCGGAAGGGAAGTAAAGCCGTTGGTCCCGGCCCATGTGTGTTGAATGGGTACGATATCCTACGCAGGTGTGGAAGCTGCCTTCCTGCACATTCGATTGCCGTCAATGGATGGCAATCGATGTTCGTCGGTGATTGGCACTAGATTGCGGAACAGAGACCGACGTTAAATAAAGGGAAGAAAAAAAAAACTTGTTTATTCAATTTTGGGTGGCCCTCATTTTGACGAATAGATCCTATTCAATTTGAGTTGTTTAGAAATAGCGTGAACCTCGGGCTACTTTTGCCTAAAAACTGAGAAATTCGCATAACCTTGGTCTATACTTATAAAGCGGATGTTTGAAATGTGAATATATTCACAATAATCGTGACCTTCAATTTATTCAATATATGGAGATTGACAGTAATAATAACAACATCAATAAAACGTGAAAATCCAAAAATATAGGAAGGTTGAGCATGGATGAATCCCAAGCTGAAAATCTCAATGAATATTTCGAAAGGTCCTATCTGCTTTGATCAATTCTTTTCATCGACTTTTTCTATTGATAACCACTGCTATGCAAACAGATTTTTCTCTATTTTTACCACATAGGAGAAATGGCTCTAATGTTGGCCTATGGATCTAAGATTGGGCCCATCGCTAAAAATCTGCTAATTATCAATTGTATCTAGACGAACGCGTCATTGGGACTGCACTAATGAACATTTTTGGTTACTATTGAAAATTTAGTCGATTGCTGAATTTATGTATGGACCCAAATTAGGAACACTTAGGCCGACATTACATATATTTCCCCTAGTTTGATAAAGGAGGTTCATATTTAGCGACCAAAACGTCAAATACAACAGGGAAAATTTTTGCAGCTGAGTGATAAACGCAAAAAAAAATCTGTGAAGAGAACCAATCAATGCCGATAGGCCATTTTGAAATGTTTATTTAGAAATCTCAATTGATTTTAGAATAGGCTTTACAAACAAATGATGTTGAGCTTATTCCTGCTTATACTACACTGGTGCTACACCGCAAAAACGAAAACGACAATAGTGAGTTATCGAAAAGTTTTCCATCAATGGTCCATGGTAGTCATTCGAAGTACCCAGGACCACTCTAATGGTCATATTCTAGGAGCCCTGGAAGGAACAGAGACAAATAAAAACAAAACGTCTAATTTTTTTTGACGTAGAACTACGTCTTTGTCGACTATACTGGGGTGCAAATCAAAAAATATGTGTGGTGAAATAGTGTTAGGTTTTGAACGCTTGTAACTTTTTCATTTATAGATGAAAATAAAATCCAAATATGCCAATGGATAGGATATTACATTACAAATCTGCTGAAATAAATAATTTTTTTTCAATTTTCCAAAAATGTACAAATGATAATTTTATCTCTGTTTTCATGAAATAAACGATTTTTCCTAACCCAGTCGCCATAATCGAGTACCATTTGGTTGTACATCGTTCTGCTTGAACCTTAAAAGATATAAAACAGCGCTGCTGTCATGCCTCTGCTCATTATCGCTTCGGACGGCGTGGCACTTGGTCCTGCAGCAAGCAGGAGCAAGTCAGCGGATTAAGGTGGATCATGGCGTGACCACCTACCACAATGAGGAACTTGGAAAGGTTATACTTGCAAAGCATCGCCTCCCCCCACCTTAAACGACAACCCGAAAAATACATGGACTTATCACTTTATTCCATTTATTATTACTTATTAAACTACAATTATAAGTAAAACCAAAAGTTAAATTACATTTATTTTTTACCCGCCTACCATAGATCCAAAACTTTCAAATTTGAGAAAAATGGAATATATTTTATTCGGTTGGTGAATTGTAATAAAGTGCCCGGTGGATCACTATGGGCTTTAACGATTACAATTGATTTTCAAACTGGTCGTGCATTAGTGTTTGCAGTGCTCCATTATGATAAGAAGCATGCTCTTTTTTCAAAATCAGCTAAATAAAAAGTTTTAACTTGCGTTCCACCCACATTCACAACGATTTAACATGGAGACGCACGGTAGCCTGCTCTACTCCGCCGGACGCCATTTTCGAACTCGACAACATTTGAAAACTCCATGGCTCACCCTGTGCGGAGGTGTCCTTTTTCTCATCGCACGAGAGCAATAATCTCTTCTGAAGGGGGCTTCTCCTTTTTCTCACGCTCACCATGCTCTCTCTCTCACTCTCTCTGTCTGTCTCATCCCTCGCATTTCGCAACTGGTGGATCGTTAGAAGGGTGGTTTTTACGTGCTGCCGCGCCGTGAGGCGGTTAGCAGAGGCCTGCAGGAGAAGACACCCATATATATAATGAATGAACGCAGCCTTGCCCGAGCTGGTGTGGTGGGGTCGCTCATTCAGTCAGTTTGGTTCGGTTTTCTTTCCATAGTTTCAGTAGAGAAAAGCGCTCGCTGCTGGGTGGACGTGGATTTTCGTTCGTTCGTTCGTTCCTCTTATTACCGGAAGAAGGTGTTTTGTGAAGTTTCAGTGTGTGTCCAACAGCGCTGTTGTGGAGGCAGAGCTCTAGTGTTCTCATACCCCCTCGTTGTTCTCTTGATTTTTTCGAGGAAATTTTTTTTTTCCGGACTCAGTTAAAGGTGTGTTCCGCGCTGCAACAGCACATAGTGATTCTCTTTGTTCCGCGCGAAATGTGCTTTTTGGAAGAATCGTGAAGAATAGCAGTTACTTTCGGTGGTTGCTACTGGTGAGCGATTCCTCCTTTTGCTCCTCTTCACGCGAAGAAGAATTGCTCAGTGTGGAAGGAAGGGCGTCCTACGTGTTGGTAGTAGTGATTGTCTCAGTTTTCCCTCCATATTCGGTGCGAAGAATTGTGTTTCGGGATCTTGATTTTTTTTGTGTCCTTCTCGGGAAGAAGCAATACAGCTTACGGATAATTGAATTCTTTTGTTCAAGGAGCGGAAGTTTAGTGATTTGTTTTTTTGCACCGTGTATTGAAAGCAGAGTTCGTGGCGGAAAAAGCAACAGAGAAAGTACTGCTGGATGTACGCATCGTGAAAAAAGGTGAAGATATTTTCCAATCATTTACTTCTTTAAGGAAAGGAACGAAGGAAATCAAAACCAGATAATCAGATTGCTGCGAACGATTTTGTTTCCGTTTTCCTTCTGCTTAAGTTTGTTACTTCTCGGATTAAAAACCCGTTCCCTTTCGATGGAATTTCCTATCCTCCCTAGAGCAAAACAAAAAAGTCCATATCCGTGACCAAGTTCCAAAAGCCATTAATACTGGAATAAAGTGAAAGTGTAGAAATGTGTCCTTGTCATTTAGTGGTTCCGTCACAGGAAGAAATTTACGACCCACTACCGCTGGTGGTGAGAAGCAGTGCTCAAGGGTGAAGGTAGCGATCCGAAATGCTGATAACGGGATTACGTGACGTTCGCCTGTTTTTCTTTTTTGGAGCAAATTTGATTCGTTACGGTCTACACACGGATGGAACCGATACGGCGACGGTGATGATGATGGTTTGAGTGTCTGTAGTGAGATTCTTCGTCGTTCTTTGGCGTGAATTGAATTAAAGTGGTTCTGGATTAGAACGAATTACTTAAACCTATTATGTGATAAACACCCCCTAGTGTTGGTGCACATTAGCGAGTATTATTATAGTCTATGACAACTGAACAGCACCAGGGGGAAACCTGGCTTCACACATTTCTGTGAGACTGGTATATGAGACGATACAAAAAAATTAAACGGAACCGTCAGTGTATGGAAACGGCTGATAAAAAATGAATGGAGAACAATTTGACTGAATTGGCTGGCTTTTGTTGGGGTGATGGACACTGACTGTCGGTTGGTGCAGGATATTTTGCGTCGTCTTTCAGTGCACAGAATTGGTGTGTTGTGGGAATCATTTACTTTAACAAGATGACAACAACGGCAGGAAGCAGTCGATCCCGGTGGATCTGAATTTGAAGACGTTGCTCAAGTGATGATCTGAAAATTTGAGACTGGGAAGTTTTTGGACCTAATAAAAGCATGCCGGACACTGATTTTTTGTTTTCTTCACAAGGTAGCATTGTGTGGATTTACGTTGGTGGACCTAATTGATGTTAAGTAGAAAATGATTTATAATGTTAACGATTAGTTAGTCTGATTAGCGGGTCTGATTCCCAAGCCGGTCGAGAAAAGTTTTAGGCTGGAAATTTTCATCCCAAAAATGGTTGGTTGATTGTTTTTACTAACGAGACCACGAGTGCAACGCAGGGGAGTTCCGGGTTCAAACTGCTCCCTGAGATATTCACTAATTTATTTTGTATGAAAAATGTCGAATCACAAATTATGTGTTCAATTGTTTGTAGTAGACTCAAAAAGTAGAAAAAAAGTCTTTTATTCTTTTAAATGCCTGGTTCTTCTGGCTGCCTTCATGAGCTTATTCAAACTACCTACGAAAGTATCTTTTTATTCCATTTGAAACATTTATCCGACTAATCTTGGAAGTTTCTTTTGACATCCGAGTATTCCTGACATTTATGTTGGCTTATCCCAGGTAAGCTCTTCCAATGTTTCCCAAAAGTTTACTACATCTGTCCACAAAAGCTAGTTCCAGTTTTATTTGGATGATTCTTACGACTTCCACCGGCATATTCTTCCACCTTCTACTGGAGGTTTCTTTCGATTTACACTTCTGAGGCTCGTAGTTTCCTCCGGAAGCATCTTGTGACATCATCGGTGAGTTTTTTCAGACTTCCTCTAGAAGTTTCCTCTGACTGCTCCCTGGAGATTCTTTCAATTTACTATAGAAACTCGAACTGACTCCCATCAGGAGTCCTACTGTTTCTCTAAACATTATCTAAAAGTTTCATCCAATCAGTTCCAAAAGCACTTTTACTTATCCTGGGTGTTGATCTCCCGGTAGCTGTCAGCTTTCACCGGATTAAACCAACTTTTGCGTAAAGTTTTTTTTTCTGGAAAATCTCTGGAAGTTGTTGTAATAGTTTATATCAGCATCTATTTCAAGCCACACAAGTTTTACAACCACTCTCTCACCCCAAACAGAAATCCAGGCTACACCTTTGAAAGGGACTTTCTGCCAGATGCTGGCTCATCTCGGTAGGGTCGTATTAAATGGATAAACATGAAATTAAAACAAGAACTTATTAAATTATTTCGGGCAGGTGCAAAGTTCCAGTTAAGATATAAAGACTGGAACGCGCAAAAATTGGTGACACAAAATCGTTTCTTTTAGTCAAAATTCATATCACAAAAATCTTCTTATTTTAATTTTGGTAGTTCAATTCATATATTTAAAGAAAAAATGTTCGTTTATTCTTTTGGTTTGCCAAATCCGAACTGCCGTGCCTTCCGCTTAACCCCTTCCATTAAATTTTGCACAGTGGTCTCATTGACCTTATTGGCTGCCGAACGCCAGTTAGATTTAAACTGCTGCTCGTTTTCCATGGATTTATTTTTGAGATTCCGTTTGACCAAGGCCCAATACCGTTCGATAGGGCAGAGTTCTGGGCTGTTGGGAGAGTTGTGGTCTTTGGGTACCACAACCACGTTGTTCGTATCGTACCACTCGATTGCCTTTTTCCCATAGTGGCAGCTCTCCAAGTCCGGCCAGAACAGCACAGGTCTATTATGTTGCTTTAGGAATGGTAGCAGCCGCTTTTCCAGGCACTCCTGGACGTAGATCTCTTGATTGATGGTTCCCGTAGTAATGAAAATGTCGCTTTTTAGACCACACGTGCATATGGCCTGCCAGACGAGATATTTTTACGGGAACTTCGATAGTTTGATGGTTTTGAAAATTTCAGCCACCTTCCCTTTTCTTGATGCGGTATAAAATTCCTCTCCCGGAAGCTGCTTGAAATCCGCCTTCACATTTCGTCGTCCATGACGACACAGTAGAGCCAACAATCAATACGAAAGTATCGATTTTAAATTGGCTCACTACTTGACTAGCCTATTGGTCCCAAGCAAATCGACTACCGTACCCCATTCTAGCATAAATTCCAGTACTACACTATGTTTGTTTTGATTAGCTATGAAAGTTTGACAGATAAAATGAGGGGTTAGTGGATTTTCCTATGTTTCGAGGGGTGAATAGATTAGCTTGGGACCGAAGATAGTACCAGAGCTGAGCCAAAAAGTTGAGCTCGTTTCTTCGGGACCTTCTGGTCTTAGAGTTACCTCTATGGTAGAGCTTTGTGAACAGATTCGTATACAGATTTTGGGACCGCTGATTTGCCGACGTGTTTCGTTTGTAATCTCGGTTCGGCACCTTCACCTTCTTAAACGTCGACAAGCCGGCTCGTTTCTTGGCCCACAGAACAGTAGTATGGGAGACATTGAGCTTGCCGCCAAGCGTCGATCAACTTCATAATTCTGCTGAATTGTAAATACACACATAAAAAAATACACAAAAATAAAAATACGTTGATGTGCACACTTTAGAACTAAAATACCTTAAATGATATACACAAAAATACTTTGTGCACGAAAAATACATTTCATAATTAATTCAATACATTGTAATACAAAAATACACAAAGCTTATAAATACACAAATACGGAAAAATACGAAATACAACTTTTCAATTCGGGGAGATGAATCGAAAATACTCAAGTTGACAGCCCCTCGCTTGCCGCCACCTTCTCGTCGTCGCTGCCACGTCCGGCTATTATTGCCGTTACTTCCAGACTTCCTGGCGGTCGACAGACGCTCCCCGAAAACTTTAAAAACGTTTGTCACGGCAATTCCAGCAATTTTGCCAACTTGGCGTGTGAGAACGCGCAAAATTTTGACACACTGCTCCTCTTGCTTGGACGTCATTATGAAAACTCGAGAGCAGACGGTGGAAACTCATCATAACAACCATTTTATATACACTCAGCTTCCAAATGTAGCATTTAAGGTTTTTTAGGCATTTTAAAAAGAAAAACACCAATTTGAAGTTGACCAATTTATTCGCGTTCCAGACTTTAGATAAAGTCATGATAAAGATAATGAAATTATTAAAGGATAGCAGAACAGAATTCAGTAAATTATTATTAAATAACGACAAAATGGCCTTACAAGGTTTGTTTACAAAATGGAGTTGAGGCCATTTCAAAGGTTGGTCTTGATTTGTTGTTACTCGCAGTCAATGGCTCCTTTGATAAATAATTGATTTCTACGATTTAACATCTCTCCCCTTAAGTCATACATTAGCACTGTAATCTACTGTCCTACACCTTCACTGGTCTGGTCGTCCGTAAAGTATTGATTTCAACAGAACCAGACCAGATCATTATTTTCAAAAATCAACGAACATGCCATTAAACAACATGCTAATCGACTAGAACTACAATGGCCACCCAATGTCCCTGGCACAGGTTCCGGAAGCCCCGGATGAAGGGGCCATCCTCTAATTTCAACAAAAACTAGCCATTCGACATATCAACATTTTCAGACTTTTATGGACATGTCATTAGAGACTACAGGGTAGGCCCAAATAACTGACGCACTTTTTTGCTTCAGTGTAAAGTTCTTCTAGGTTATGCGAGAACTATCTGGTGGCAAACAAATGAAAGAGTGACTGATTAAAATGAACCGTAAAACGGGGTAACATTGATAGTTTTTTAAAGTTTATTCTAAATAATTTTTACAGAAATGAATGTTTTTCAAATTTATATTTTTAAAACAAGCACTGACGATACAATTCGTTAGTAATAAGTTTAACGAAAATTAAAGCATTTGCACTATCTTTTTAGTTTTGTGACCGAACTTCAGTTTTTTGATTTGTGGTTACTTTGATAATGCTCGATGAATGTAGACAAAAATGGGTGAAACTCAAACAATTTAGTTCTTTAAATTTGAAACTTCGAATGAGTATATAATCAGAAAACATCATAAACAATAAGAATACAACAATGCATTTGTGATGGCTATATTGAAAACACATTAAATTAGTAATGGTTTGAGTGCTTTTTCAAACAGGCGAAAAACACGAAAATTGTTTTTAATATGTTTGTAAAAAATGTAACACATACTGAATTAAAACTATATACGCTATCAACG